GCTACTGCGATGACCGCCAAGGACCAGGCCAAGGACAAGCAAGTAGCGAAACTCAAGGCCGACGTCCAGCTCTTGCTCAGTCTGGAGCAAGACCGCAGTGACGACGACGACGACGAAGACATGGTGCATGCAGAGGTAACGCCCTGCGCGTACTTGGACCCAAACTACGAAGCGCAGCCTCCAGCGTACATGGACACGGACGACCCTTGGATCAGCGACGGCTACGCAGTCTTGTAGTCGATATAGCATAGGACAGTAAACACTAAGTGAATAATCAAAACAACGTTTGTACTCGTGTTGTGTGTTGCTTGATGTTCTGGTACGCTTCTCAAATCTGGTGAAAAAAATGCACCACGGCTAGCCTAGCGGTGAATTGTAGTCTTGGCGACCCAAAGAACTCTATACAAGACTCGTGCTATAGCCATTCTACCGCTACTGTGCTTGCTGGAGATTGGCACTCGCCATGTCGATGCGATAGCTTCCATCCCAGCCGGTTGCATCGCTTGCCGTTGACGTCAACGAGCAGCCTCCGCATCGTGCTGCGGACGCAAGCCCTTGGATCTGCGACTCCTGTATCCTCCTCGCCCACACAACGAGCACCTACAGCACCATTGGGCCACGGCGGACTTGGCGCCCATGGCGCATGCCCGGCGAGGACGCTGCAGAAGGTTGGGCCGGCGCTGCGGGGCTGGTCGTATCCGGCGGCGTCCGAATAAACGCGGCCGCGGATTGGCTAAAATTCGACTTTTTGGACGGACTGTGGCCTGCGGTGTTCAATTGACTGGTTGTTCGTCGGCTGCAAGATGTGGAACCGTGTGACGTCGCCGCTCCTCCGCGCCGCCCATGCCCGCTCGATGGCCTCGCATGGCCATGGCCACGGCAGCTACCCGCATGGCATGCACTTCCACGTCGACCCGGTGCATAAGGCGCTCGGCACGGCCTTTGGCACGCTCACGTGGCTCTGGATCTTCTACCGCGCCAAGGAAGACGGCGCCGTCGTCTTGGTACGCGATCGATCGCTGCATGGATGCATGGCTTAGCGCTCTGTCTTTGTAGGGCTGGGAGCACCCGTGGGACCATGGCCATGGCCACGGCCACCACGACGCCCATGCCGGCCCCGTCGCGTACGAAAAGGTCGAAATCGGCGAGCGCCCGCGCCTCGTCGAAGAGTAAGCCGGCGCGTCTTCTATCTGTATCAACACAACATGCGCGGACGCGGCAATGGTAGATGCACATATATAACACAACAGCTAATGGCGCTGACATTGCCGCTGCTACTCATACGATCCGCTCCGTGAGCTCCTCGAAGCGCCGGCGGTCCTGCTCGAGCTCGTTGTTCTGGCGCGTCGCGACGTCCTTCTTAGACGCGACGTACGCTTGCACAAAGCTGTCGATGGCCGGGTGGAACTCGTACTGGCCGCCAAAGTAGTCGTAGTAGTGCGTGCCATCATAGACGTAGCCGTCCGGAAGTGGGGCGTGCACATGGTCGGCTTGGATTTGCCGCTTCTCGGCGAGCGAAACGCTGCCTTGAAGCGGGCGCACGGTCTCGTACTTGGTCGGGCAGCACGCCAGCAGGAGCGTCTTGAGGGCCGACGCATCGAGTTGGACGCCCGTGAAGAGGAACGAACACGTTGCCTGGCATAGCCTCTAAGCCTCTTTCACTCGCCAAGGTCGCATGACCTACCGCGGAAGGAGCGGCCGTGGGCTTGAGCGTCGCCTTGACACCGCTGTTGAGGTACTGGTACCCGTGCGCGCTGTCGTCCGCAAACGTCAACGTCGCCTCGATCGACCACACGGTGCCGCACTTCGTTGCGAGCGCAGCGACCAGCTCGGGGGCAATACCGGGCGTCTTTAGCGACTGCGCCACCTTGGTCATGGCCAGCGACTAGGTACTTCCATGAGGCTACTGCAAGTAGTCCGACCGAGATGGTTCCACCTGCGCCAAGCGGAGACCCTTGAGCTCGGCCGCCGCCTTGAGCACGCCCGAGGGCTCGATCGACTTGAGCGTCGCGTGCGGCGTCAGTCCATGCTATCCAAAAAGTATCAGTCTATCAAGTTGAAACTCTCACAGCTCAAAATGCCACCTGAAGACACGCGAGGAAGCGCGCGCGGTCGATGGCGGCGCCAATGCGAAAGCCGATCGCGTGACCAGCGAGCGCAGCGACCGAGTACGCCTCGGGCGACGCGATCCAGTGCGGAAAATGGCGGTCGCGGTACGCTTGGCGCTCGGTGACATCGAACGCGTCGAGGGCCAAGAGTGCCGTCACGTCGCCTTCAAAGACGGTCGACCGGAGGCAAAAGACGTCCACGAACGGGTTGGCCGCGTCGATGCGCGTGCGGAGCCGATGCAGTGACGTGCGCGAGAGCTCGGCCGTGTTGCTCAGCACAACGTGCGTCGCAAAGCCCGCCGTGAGCTGGTCCCAGAGCTTGGGCAGCGGGTTCGCCGTATTTGGCTGGAGAAGCGCCGCGCCCGAGAGGCAGCACGTGAGCGTACTCAGCTTGGTCGGGAGGGCCCACTGCGTAGGCGGCATCTTGATGGCCGCCGCCACCGTCATGCAGTCCACATAGCCTACGACGCCTTAGCGTCCACCTGGTTTAGGGCATATATTTACCGATGACGGTGAGAAGGATGCGAGGGCGGAGGTTCCACGACGACTGCGCCGCGATCGTTGTAAGCGCCGTCGCTATCGACGTATGCACTTGCGACGTGACCGTCCGCCCGAGGGAGTGCTGGTCCCCAAGACGGACGTCGACGACCACGTGCTGCCACCTGGAACACTCAGTTCTTAGATATGCATGAACCCAAGTAAGACGTACGCGTTGGTGGCGCCCGAGATGTCGGTGAGCGCAAGGGCGAGCTCGTGGACGTCGCTGCCGGGGACGCCAAGGAAGACCGAGATGGGAACGAGGAGCTTGGACGATGTCTTGGGCTTGGCCCAGCTCGAGACTTGAGTGACAGCTTTCGAGATGTACCAGTGCGGAAAGAGTCGCTCCTTTGTCGCCGCGTCAGCATCCAGTGATAGCACGCGCTGGATGCCGGGCATAAACTGCGCGGGTACGTCCTTCTCGCCACGGCTGTTGTCTACAAATCAACAGACAACTTGTCCATTTTGTATCGACGAGGTGCATGGTACCGTGGGGGCGGTGGAAGGGAATGTCGAGACGCAAGAGCGATGCCTTCCACATGTCCAAGAGGCGCATCACATCCGCTTGCATGCGCGAGTTGGCGACGAGGGGTAGCGCGACGCTCGACCCGAGCAGCGAGAGCGGGAAGCTCGCGCGCACGGGGTTCGCGTCGCGGTCCCGGAACTCGATCAGAAGGAGGAGGAGCGCGTCGTCCGGCGTCGAAAGCACTTGAAGCGACGCGACGTCGTTCGCAAACGAGATCACGATCGGGTTGCAATTCGGGCTCTTGAACACGAGACCCTAGCCGCGATCGGGGTCGACAATGACGCCGACGCGTCATAGCTACGTACGCTCGTGTACGTCTTGAGAACGCCATGCAATAGCGGCCAGTGCGGGCACTGCACGAGCAAGAGCGCTTTGGGAATGGCGTCCCCGAGTTCCTTCCCAAGCCGTAGCGTGTCGGCGAGCTATGAGACATCTTGTCCACACGAACCATGGATGAATAGACCGACCATGTGCTCGGACGCGAGCGCGTCATCGAGATGGCTCGCAAAGTCCGCTTCCTTGCCTCCTTGCGTCCACGTCTTGATGTAGTCAAAGCCGCGCGTCACGACCAGATGCGTCATCGTCGGCTTTTGCAAGAGCAGCGTGTCGCCGACGAGAAGCGACCCGAGCGGCGATGCATTCTTGGCACACTGACTCGGCACGTAAGAGAGCGACGTCGTCAGGTACCACTGGCTCCACTCTAATACCCACCGTCCATCAGCCCCTCTAACCTATTCAACGAGCGTACTTCCGGTCGTCTCCTCCACACGCTCACCGCAGGCGTCCAAGCACTCGAGCGTGACGTGAAAATGCGTGTCCAAGTACGCAGCGGGCCACATGTACGTCGCTTCCAGCGGCGCCACGCGCTGGCGCAGCGTCGCAAGTGCCACCGCTTGCACGTTGCTCACCGATGGCTCTACCTCGACCGCTGATTCCCAAGGCCAATGAGAACACAGCGCTTACGAGGACGAGTCTTGGCCTCGGCAACAAACGCATCGATGGCGTCCGTGTGCGCCTACGCGGCTCGTAGACCATTGCCGTTGATAAGGAGGCTACCTGCAGCACGGCTTCATACAGCGAAAGGACAAAGCGCACGTCCTTGGAATTGTCGAGCAGATCGTCGTACCGATCGAGCTTCTCGAACGACGGATGCACGAGCGCATCGGTGTCGACGATACGCGGGGCGACGCGGCCGGTCCCGAGCATGTAGGTGCGGGCCACGCGCAGGCCCGAGAGCGGCTCTTCTGCCGTCCACAGGAGGTGCGTCGCGGCGAAGCCCTCGACTCCCTAGCTCCAAGCGTAGGCAAGGGTTGGTGGTCCGAGATAGCCCGTACCGCGTGGTCGGGCAGCGTCTCGTTGGACGCGGTTTCGGGCAAGAGCGTCCGTGTGCCAAAGAGCACGCGTGCGCCGCGGGCTTTGGCCGGCGACAAGCCGCGCGCCGCGTGCCGAATCGTCCCAAACTCGTAAAAGCTAATGACGTCGTCGCCCCAGTCGAGCTCCGACTTGGCGTGGCGCTCGGACGCGTCGGACGCGTGGTCGAGCTTGGTGAGCGCGCTCTCGTAGTGGACTTGGAGAGCCGGCGTCGCCTCGAGCACGAGGCGCCGCGCGTAGTAGTTGTCGACGAGTAGCATGCGCGCAAAAAGCGCCGCCTCGACGTCAATGGCCGCGTGCTGCATCGTAAAGAAGCCTTGGGCAGCCGACGAGGCGAGAATCCCGTCGTTCTCCAAGCCAAACGCTTGGACGAGCGGCCAGCGCTCGATCGCCATGCTGTCGGGCGACCCCATCGGTACGCCGAGGCGCGAATACGGTGCGACCATGGCGCGGAAGGATCGGATCTTGATGAGCTCGCGGTCGTCTTGCGGCAAGTCGTCGGGCGCCACGTGCTCGGTGAGGTTTCGCCAGCACGAGATGAGCGGGAGGAGGAACGTCGCGCTGTCGCTGTCGAGCGGATAAAAGATATCGGCCGAGTGGGGCGTGACGACGACGACGACGTCGTCGAGCGTCTCGAAGGCCTGCGGAATCACTTGCTCGCCGAGGAGCTCTTGCCCCGACGTGCCGAGGAAGAGGTACTGGAGCGCCGCAGCACACCCGCGCGAGAAGCGGCCGTCGGCGCCACCGACGAGAAGGAGCGCGTCAACCTCCGCGCTACTGCACAACGCCTGCAGCTGCTCGAGGCGCTCGTAGCTGTCGCGACCCGTGAACGGGCTCTTGGTCATCGTCCCCGAGTTGGAAATGGAAAGGATCTTCAAGCGTCGTCGTGACAGTATTTCCGGTAGATGTGGCATCTTGCCCTTTCCTTAACACTATTTGTTTTATATTCGGCAAATACGACGGGCCGTGTCGATCAATGCTGCTTGCTGCTAGTCTGTTGGACTCGGTTGGCGCGGTTGGCAGCGCGCTATATCACAAACCAACTCTATAGTAGCGAAGGCTTCTGCGGTTCGACCGGCCAAGCGGAGCGAGACCTCAAGATGGTCACTCTGGTTGACGTTTCCGCCGTTGACAGTCGGGCTCATCCCCTCTCCTCTTTCTCATGTGGCCTCGTCAAGCCATGGAAGGCTTCCTTGGCCACGATCGGCGCTCCAGCTACTCTACCAACGACGAGCGAGTGGGCAATGAAGGTTGCTTGTTGCGGTCCATCGCCATGGGGCAATGTGAAACAGGGCCGTTTTAAATTCGGCACAAAATGCCACTTCTTCTTTTCGTGTCTTCTCACAATGTCGCGATTTCCGCCCGACGCGGGCCTCACGCTTCTCCACGTGTACTTGAACGAGGTGCACGACCACATTGCTGCGATGAACCTCACGGCCGGCAGCGTCATGGACCCTTCCGAGATGACCTTTATGAGCCTCCTCGTCGGCAACCTGGCCGCGCTCGGCGCCGCCGGGCTCCTCGTGCGCTTCAGCACCGACGTCGTGCGCGCCGTGCTCTTTGGCTGGCTCTGCGTCATGGCGAAAGCGACGTGCAGCGTGCTTGGCCTCAGTACGCTCGTCTCGACCGCGACAACGGTCGTCGTCGCGGTGGTCCTCACGCATTGGGACGTGTATGGTTTCTTTTGTGTGACGTGGCTGCACGTGTACATGGCCGTCTTTCGACACGTGCGCGCGTCGGGCTGGTCCGTCGCCAGCGCCGACTACGTGGCGGTGACCGTCGCCTGCGTCGTTGGCGACCAAGGGCGGTCACGCGACGTGGTCGACCTCCGCGGGCGGCGCGTCGACGTTGTCTACTTTTTCCTCGCGACGCTCTGGGCAGGCATGCTGCTCTACGACAAGGCCGACGAGTACGCGCTCTTCCTTGGCGCCGACTTGAGCCCGAGTCTTCGCGTCGTCGTGACGTCGGCGTTTGCTGCCGACAGCTTCCTCCGCGTCTTGCATGCGTACGCGCCTCGTCCGATGCTCGTGCGCTGAGGCTCTTTTTTCTTATCTAATCTCATTGTTTCGTATGCTATTGTACTGGCTGTCATGACTACTAACTCAGGGATGGAAACGTGCTTAGGCTTCATTGTTGCTGAGCTTCTCGATCAACTGCTGCTGCTCGTCCTCGATCTTGGTGAGCGAAATGTACTGCTGGCAGTAGCGCTCGAGCTCGGTTTGCTTCTCCTTGATGAGCACCTCGAGTATGAGCTTTTGCCGGTTGCGGTTCTCCACCTCGTTGTCGACGCGGTTGCGCTGACCAATGGCCTACGTGTCCACACATATAGAGCCTGCCGACGCGATCCAAGTACCTTGAGCTTCTCGAGCTCAATGCGTTTGGCCTGCGCCTCCATGATCTCGAGCACGCCTTTGACGGTGCTGTGAAAGTCCTCCATTTCTACGACATTATGATGAGCCCAGAGAGGACGAGACGAGCGAGCGTACTGGAGACGAACTGGTTGCATTCGGTCTCGAGCTCCTGCGTGTGCACAAACTTCTCGAGCTCGAGCACGCGGACGCGGTACTCGTCGTCAAAGCAGATGCGCGGCAGCTGGACGTCGTTCGATGGCATTTTTCAACTGACGCCTCTTCAAGATACCGTCCTTTTCACACTATATATAGTTATATATACTATTTCATGTGAAACCCAGGCCGCGGTAGCATCCGAGTCACGCTGACGCGTTGCGCATACCGGCGCTTGGTATGCGTTACATAGCCTTCGTAGCGTACAAAGAACGGCGTGGTAGTGCCAAGAGGTACGTTTGCCATGAGGAGTGAGTGGGCGGCGAATGACACGTAAATACTGTACGAATAAAAAGACAGTGCATAATGGTTTTCCGGATTGAAATAGTGTGCATGGGATCTCGCGACGCAGCAACGTTGGTCGTAGCATTGGCCGCAGCGTCCTGTGCCTACCTGTGGCTCACGACGGGCCAAGATGAAGCTCGACCGTGCAGTCAAAATGACAGTGACGAGGTCGTCCACGACGAGACGCTTCTGGACATGGAGGCCAAGACGATCCCGGAGCTGATCAGCATCCTGCATCAGTGCGAAGGCTCGCTGCTCGTCGAAGCCGCGGTCGTACGTCTCGGCAACCTCGCCGCCTTCAGTGCGCTTCGCCTTGTGACATGCGTAGCTCATTGTTCACTCGCATTGTAGCGCCGCTTCAGCACCAGATCGCAGCGCAAGGTGGCATCGCGGCCCTCACCGAGCGGCTCGCCGATATGGACTGTACGCGATCTTGCGCCACAGCGATCTTCAGTGCGCTCGCCAACCTCGTCGTCAACGGTACGTGGTGCTTCACAGGTGCATGTACCACGATGATTCGATCTTAGACACCAACCACCACGTGATCGGAGCGCCTAGCAACCTCGACATCTTCCTTGGCTGGTACACGGACGACGACGTGCCCACGAAGCTCGCATGCGCCCGCCTCCTCAAGAACCTCTCCATGTGGGGTACGTCTCCTTCCGTACTTGCTGTGTAGGTCCCATCGATTGGCTAGAGTTTTACGCGACCGAGCTCCTCGGTCGTGACGCGCTTCCATCAATGGCCCGAGACCTTTTCCAACGGCAATGTCCCTCGCTCGACGACCTCCTACTGCAATGTTGGCTCAACATGCAAAGTACGCGTTCCATCATACGCCCTGCTGTAGCGTTGACACTAATAACTAGGTACGACCATGTCGCTTGCCCAGCTGCAGACGATGCTCGATGCCATCGAGGGACACACGCCTGCGACCGAGCGCGCCAAGGAGACCGTCCTTCGCCTGTTATTGCATATGTCCAAGCGAGGTCGCCAACTCTCTGTCCCATCGTTGTCTTATTGCGATCTTATCTTGGCTTGTAGACGAAGCGTTCGGTGGTTTTGGCCAACACATCGTGGCTTGCTTGACGTCGCTCGACTATTTCTTGCTCGATGACGACGCAGCACACGCGCGCTACGGCCATAACGAGCTGCGTCGGTGGTTTGCCGAGCAAACCGACCACGAAAAGGCATGGGACACGTAACCCACCTTGCTATTTCTCGAAGTTACGAGCAATAGAGAGGCAGTGAGGCAATGTAGCTTCTGTCATCAGGCGCGAGCAGTCGCTCGGCGGCTTCGTCTAGCGTGCGCCAGACCGCGCGGGTAACACGTGGGTAGGCCACCGAGGGTGGCAGCTCGAGCACGTGGCGGCGTGCGCACAAGTAGTCGACGGCCGAGTGGACGTGGGTAGTGGTTTGGAGTGCCATGAGTAGGGCCGATGTCTCGTGGCGCGTCCAGCCCAGCGACGTGCGCAGCGTGTCGACGAGTGTCGAGAGACATGGCGACGGGGCTATGGTGGTCGCCGCACTTTGCCCGCTGTACGGCGTCACACTACAGACTTGCAGCGGTCGCGGCCACACCTACGTCGACATCGTCCTTGTATGGATTGAGCATAGGTCGTACTGTGAAGCGGTCTTGGTGGTGCTGCAGTAGCGTCGGGTACTCCTGGCGCAAATAGGACTTTTGCTGGTCGTCGCTGCCTCCGTACAAGGCTTCGATAAAGTCCGCCTCGGCGACGTTCGCTGCGTCCCAGCGAAGGCTGTTGGCGGCCTTGAGCCGGTGGAACTCGGTCCACCATTGCGGTGACTTTGGCTCGGGCGCCTTCTCGAGCAAAACGCCTTTGAGGGCACCCAGGAGTCGTTGCGGCCGGGAGCTGGGTGCGCCCTCGTCGTCGCCTGCTGCGTTGTTACTGGTGGTCACACGTCGCCGGAAGGTGAGCCCGTTGAGTCCGAGCGGCGCATTGCGGAGGCGGTCAACAACAGCAGTCATTGGCAGCGTCGTGATGTCTTCACCATTGATGCGTTCGAGCACATCGTTGGCCTCGATGCAGCCGAGGAGCTCGGCCAGGCCGCTGCCGCCGTCCGCATTGGGCACGAAACCTTCGACAATGACACGCCCGGCCACGTTGCCGATAAAGTAGATGCCAAAGCCCTTCTCGCCCTTCTCGAGGGCGACGTTAAAGAGCAGGTCGGTCTCGTCGTCGGCCATGTGTGCCCCTTCAAGATCCAAAAACGGGTTGTCGCCAGCAAGGTTCGAAGCGAGGCCCAAATGAAATGATTGGTACTGTAAATTTTTACTAAAAATTGTGTTCGTTGAACCGAGAGACGGTTAGCATCTCCCTCGACAAGGACGAGATTACGCTTCGGCGTACTTTAAACTCCGGTTTAGGCTCTGGTACTCGTACCATCTGACCATTTTTTTGAGATTTTCAACCTCAAACCAAACTCAAAATGCCAAATCGCAAACGAGCTGTGAAGACGGGGCTCAACACATTGCGATCGCCCTTTGCTCTCCGAGGGAGCGCTTGCAGCCAAGAAGGCCCTCGTTCGCTTCGGAGGTACTCTAAAGACGCAGCCAACTCGCCTGCCAACACCCTGTGCAAGTCTACAGCACACAACTGCACAGCTGCGCCTGCTGCAGAGCAAGGAAGACTCGGGCCAAGGATGCTCCTTTGCAGTATGGGACAGCTAACTGCGATATTGCTTTTCGTCCACCCTAGCTCTTGGAATTCCAGATGCAAGATTGAAGATGCGCCATAGCAAGACAAGGATGATCGTCTATTGTACAATATCGGCTGCGCCGTCCTCGCCGTCGCTCCTCTTGTCGTCGTCGTCGTTGATGTTGGTCGTCGTCGTCTTGTCGAGCGCGCACGCGAGGTCGCCAAAGTACAACGTGACTGTTTTGAGTTTCTTGTTGAGAAAGTTGTGCTCAAATTCGCAGACACCATCGGGACTTAGCAACCGCGCCTGCTTCTTGCACGTGTTGCGCGGTAAGAAGTACGCAATGTTACGCGACACGGTCTGCGCGAGGTGGAAGAGGTCGATGCCGTTGCGGTCGCCCATGCACATGGTGTCGAGCGCAAAGTGCTTGACGTGCAAGTATTCGGGCCCTACCACCGTTTGAAAGATTGATACTTTATGGGGAGTTGGCCATACCGCCCCACGGCGGCGAGAGAAAGACTGCGTCGGCACGGAGCGTTGGTAGCAGCGCGAACGCGTCACCGATGAGCCACTCGATGCGGTCGGCAACGCCGTAGATGCCGGCGTTGTGCCGGGCGATCTCGATCTTGGCCGGGTCCATGTCGATAGCGATGACGTGGCGACACGTCTTGGCGAGCTGGATGGCGTTACCGCCGCACCCTGTGAACGCGTCGACAACAACGTCGCAAGCCAATCGCATTGCGTGGTGCTCTGAGATGACCTCGGGCGTCACCTAGTTAGTCGTTTCGCTCGTTGCAAAGTCATGAGGATCATGGGTATACCGAGAACCAGCCTTCATGGTCGAGGCGGATGCCTTCATCGAACTTTGTAAAGAGCGCGTAGCGTTGAGCCCAGTACTTTTCGAGGCTCGGGTCCATGTCGGCTGCCATTCCCGCGGGTGTTGGCGCACTGGCAGTGGCTTGGTCGTGGCCGTCGACGTCGTTGTTGTCGGCAGCTTCGGTCTCAACTTCGTCGTCGACTTCCTCGTCTTCGTCGCGCGGACGTTTCTGAAGGACTGTGGGCTTGTGCTCGACGGCAGTCTCATTCCCGACATCGTCAAACTTGACGTGGACCGCAGCTTTCAGTGGGCGTGCTTCGATTTCTATGGCACCATGGCTGTCAGCATCGCGTGCCTTTGGGTGCGCAGCACGTACTTTTCGACGAGCCAAAGCTCAGCGGAAACATGCCTGCAAGGCCCGCGTCGGCCATCTCGCTCTCGAGCTGCGCTTGCTGCTTAATCGTCTCTTGCGCGCGGGCAGCGTCCTCGGCGCAGACAGGCTCCGCTGTCTCGTCCACGCGCTGGCGCTTTCGCCGTGCCTTGGCGCCGCGCGACTTCTATGCACATGTGAGGATGCGTCTTGGGTGCCATGTACTACTACCTTGCGCTTCGTCGAGGACCGTCGCATGTCGGCCGTCTCGTGGTAGACATTGCGGAACGTGATCGCCATCGCTCTTGGCCACCGCTGGCCGCAAATCTCCGGATACGCTGCCAATGGATATCCGGATGTGCTGGCGCGGGCCGCGCGCTCGGTCGCAAGGACGGCACCGTGGCACCAGCGGAGCGTGAATGCACTGCAAATGCCGAGACACGCGCTAGAAGAGTGGCTTCGGCGGGTTGTACTCAAAGGCGCTGGCGTCGACTGTCGCACGCTCGTCGATGGCACAGCTGATCCGGGTCGGACGGTCGCACCCGAGAAGCGCCGACGGCAGCTCACGTGTGGCAGACTCGAGGTCACTGGACGACGCTCTTTCGCGCCTGCATATCGCCAGGAGCAACTTGCCATAGTGGGCGCACGCAAGACGCTACTCGACGCACAAAGATACCAGTCGACACCGTCGTCGTTCTGGTCATGTCTGGTTCAACTGGATAGCAAGATCGCGCGCTGCCCATCCTCCTGACTCCTGACGGCGACTCATGTAAATGTCCACCTCTTCGCGCCTCTTGCTGGTGACGGCGCAGAGTTGAGGACAGTTGCAGTGCAGGCCGTTGGGACTACGAAACCTCGTGCTCTGCGAGGCGCAGGGCGACCACGAGGCGCCTGAGGAGGCTGGTGGTCACTGCAGATTGCATGCGAAGTGGCTTCTCAGAAGCGACCTGATTCTAGCCTGCCCACCAGCCGCGCAGCCGGTGAGCTACCATGCTCCCGAGGCCTTTCAGCGCGTGCCAGGTGCCCCTCGGCCTTGCGTCCGGCGGTGTGGCACGGTATCCGGACGCTGCCTTTTTCCCTCCGTTGGGCGGCGCCAAGGCGCGATTGGTCAAATGTCTCGACGATTCGAATTTCTAGTGGATTAGGGGTTCAATTCTCGACGTGCCTGTGTATTAAATAGCTTGCTATTTGTATGCCGTGTCCGGGATACCAATTAAAATGCGAGAAGCCACCCATCTGTCGCGCCGAATAAAAATCCCGTGAGCAATGCAAAAAAACACGCTTCTTTTGACTTTGTATTTGTATACACCGGTTTGAAAACTTGAACCTGCGCTTTAAAAATGTTGTCGAGTCAGGGCAAGGGGTCGGGGTCATTTCAAATTGCCGCCTCTCGGCCACGCACGTATTTTATGACTTGGTATTTGTATGCGCCGCATTTGTGGCGCCGAGAAACCTGCCAGATCTTATACCCTCGCACATGCCATCACGGGCCCGGGGCCGCGCAAGTAGCCACGCGCCGGGCGATGGCGACCTCCCGCCACGGGGACCGAGGAAGGGCGGCGATGGCGCGCTCCCGCGTGTCGACGCGCCAAGTGCTTGATGGTAGGGAGGCGCTGTGCGTCGCGGAGCGCGGTTGTCGCTGGCGGTGCATGGCCGCGTCGGAACACGTGGTCGGGACGGCAAACCTGCGAGACTTGATTCCTTTCACCAAAGCGGGATGCGAATGTTTTATTTTATATTTAACTCCACAGCCTCTAAACTGCAAAGCAGCGGGAGAGAGGAGTGTCGTAACACATAAGTCCATCCCGAAGCTCCGACGACCCGGTGATAGACTACGTACGACCGACGACGAAGATGGACTCGTTCAATGGCATGGACTTTGAAAGCGACCTCTTGGGCGGCTTTGACGAGTTCCCGCTGGGCGGCAATGGCATGCCGTCCATGGGCGGCTCGGGCCTGGACTCGCCGTCCGGCATGCCCTTCAGCGTCGGCACGCCGACCGGTATGCCGAGCCTCAACGGATCGATGCCGTTTGGCATGAACAACAGTAGAGCGTCCGGCTCGGGCCCACCCGGCGACCTCCGCGGCCGCGACAACGATGCGTTCAACGAGAGCGACGACATTGGCAGCTTCTTTGACAACGACCTGCCCAACAACAACAAGAAGCCCGACGACGACAAGAACAAGCCGTCGCACGGCATGGACAAGCCGCCGATGGGCGGTCACAACAACAACAACAACGGCGGCCACAACGCGCCCCATAGTATGCAGAACAACAACACACGCAAGGACGAGTCGTCCATCAACCGCGGTGGCCAGCCGCAGCAAGCCAACAAGCCGCCGCCCAACCGATTATCAGAAAGCAACAACTCGGAGTCTCTCCTCTCGACGCTGCTCATGACGGACCAGCCGGCGGGCGGCAACCGGCCCGGCATCCCCGGCATGCACGGCGGCAACCAGCCACCGCAGCACAACCAAGGCCACCCGGGCATGAACAACTACATGAACCCGCGCTACAGCGGCAACGGCAACGGCATGATGATGCCTCCGAACGCAGCCGCGCAGTCGTCCATGTATGGTGGGTACAACGCCGGCCCGGGCCAGCCGCGGCCACCGTACGCCCAGCACCACACGCTCCAGCGCACGAACAGCGGCCTCATGAACCCGCCACCGGCCGCGCCGACGATGGGCCGTGGCGGCATGCCCATTAGCTACCCCACCGACTACGACCAGGAACTCGCGAAGCTCAAGAGCGTGCTTGCCGCCCAGCCCGACTTGATCCCGCCGCCGCAAGATGTGCTCCGCGTGACGCAGCATCAGTGTCTCGCCAACTCGGGCCGGATGCCGCACGGCGCGCCGCCCGGGAGCTTTCACCCCGGTGGCATGAACCCCGGCATGCCGCCAGGTGGTATGCCGTCGTACCGGCCACCGCAGGGCTCGCCGCCGCCGAATGGTATGATGATGGAGACGCGTCCGTCGCCGTCGCAGCCGCCGTCGTCATCGACACCGAATGTCGTGCCTCCGTCGATGCCGTCGCCGGCCGTCGTGGGCCGTCCGCAGCAGCCGTCGCCTGGTCAAATGGCGGTGGCGACGCCCGGGAAGGCGACCGTGTGGCAGTCGGAGAACGACGTGCCGCTCCGTCGCAAGATGATTGCCAAGATGTACGTATCGCACCACGTTGTAGCGAGAGGCTCAATTGTTGTGAAATAGTGTGAGTTTGCTCCAACAGCGCAAGCCGGACGCGCCCGCCGAGTGGATTCGGCGACTGCCCGATATGGCCCGTCGGCTGGAAGACTCGCTGTACCGTACGGCGTCCGGGCGCGAGGTGTACGGCAACTTTGCGACGCTCAAGCAGCGGCTGCAGCAGCTGGCCGTCACGATGGGTGCGCGCGCGGCCAAGTCGGGCATGAACACGTCGCAGTCGACGAGCCCAAACAACCCGGCCGCGCTCATGAACCAGCCGCCGCAGCGCAGCCTCTCGATGGGCAACATGACGAACGCGCCGCCCAACCACTCGCCGCCCAACCCGAGCGCGCCTCGCAACCCGCAGCAGCAGATGCAGATGCAGATCCAGCAGCAGCAGCAAGTGCCAATGCACCAGCGCATGCAGCAGCAGCAGCTCCACCCCTGCCAGATGCCACAACAGCAAGGCAACATGAACGGCCGGAGCCCGCAAATGCCCAACGGCGGCCCGTCGCAGTCCAACCCGCAGCAGCAGCAGCAGCAGCAGCAGCAGCAGCAGCAGCAAGGTAACAACAACAGTGCGGGCATGGGCTTCAACAACCAAGGCAACCGCCCCAACTACACACAGCAGCAGCAGCAACAACAACAGCAGGCACAGCAGCAGCACCAGCAGCAGCTGCAGCGGTCCCAGTCGTTTCCGCAAAACTCGTTCCCGGGCCAACAGCAGCAGCAGAACCGGCCGCCCAACGGCCCGCCGATGGCCAACAACCCGAACGCACGATCGGCACCCGGCGGCCAGCGACCGTCGAACGCCGCCTCGTCGGGTCGCCTCTCGGTGGACAGCGGCCTCAACGACCTGACGGCCGACTCGCCGGATCTCTTTGGGATGGACCTGACGTCGTCGCTCATGGACGGCGACGGGGACTTGCACGACGGCCTCGACACGACAACGGACTTTAGCGGCCTTCTCAGTGGGTCGTCGTCGGCCAAGAAGAGCCCGAGTACGTCGCCCAAGGACGCGAGCGGCAAGTCGTTGAAGCGCACGTTGTCGCAAGCCGACATGGGCGGCAACGCAGCCTCGAAGCGCGCGAAGCAGCCCGTGAAGCGGACGCCCAAGACACCGCCCGCGTCCGCTTCGCCAGGTCCGTCGGGGAAGACGCCGCCGCCGCAAGCTTCCAAGCCCAAGACGCCGCCGCCTTCAGTGAATGTGCCCAAGTAGTTCAGTTGTAAGAAAATTAAGCTCGTATTTGTCATGGGCGAGACGTAGTATCAGGACTAGAGCGGCGACGCTGGCAGCGAGGGCAGGCCGAACTCGGTCGTGTACATGGCGGCCATTGCGTTGTACGCCATGAGGTCGCCGGCGCGGATCATGTTGCCGGCGTCACAGTTGAGCGGCGAGTCGGCCGCCGGGTCCGAGAGGAGCGACGTCACGGCGAGGCAGGCCGCGCGCAGAGTCCAGGCCGGTGACCATTCACGCTTGAGAATGTCGAGGCAGATGCTACCGTCCTGGAAGTGTACGTTCGGGTGGAAGATCTTGGTGACAAACTTCATCTTGGGCGGCTCCATGGGATACATGGGCGTCGTCGCGATCGCGAGCTCGAAGACGCGGCCTTCGAACGGCGTATCCGCCGGGCCCTTGATGAAGGCCTTCCACTCGACGATCGATTCCTCGAGTGGGAAGAGCACCATGTCGGCCTCCGGGTGCTTCCGCAGCTCCGCGAGTTCCTTCCGCAGCCGCTTCACGTTCGTGTTCATGGTTCTTCGGTTCTGGCGTTTCCGTCACCTGGTACCGTATCCGGATATTGCGAACGTGGCACGCGCGCACTCGTGCACGTAATGCCGTTGGAGTTCGCGCATTTCGACACCATTATCGCGTCGCCTCTATGGACAACGCCGTTGACAACGTGTCCTTTGCATCCGAGCTCCAAGTGCAAACGGCTACGTCGTTCCCAATGACGGGCTAGCGTTACCTCTTACGTCGACACACGGGCAGCGCGGCCAAGTCCTCCGGCGTCTACCCACTGCGACCACGCCCATTCCTTAGTCGACACACGGGCAGCCCGGCCAAGTCCTCCGGCGTCTAGCCCACTGCGACCACGCCCATTCCTGTCTAGCCCAGAGCAGCCACAATATGGGACACAGTGCCGAGCAGCCAAGGGATGATGAATCATGCCAGCAGCGGTAGGCAGACCCTATGGGCGTCGGGCATGTGCTTGGGTTGCCGTAGTCGGTTGGACCGTTCTGCACTCGCGTGGCGCCAGGCGCATGGGCTGATGGACGGGCAGCGTCATCGCATGAGCTTCTTCTGGTCGCGGGCCTCTGCGACTCGCGGCTTCTGGGACTGGTGTCGGTCGACGTGTTCTGGAAATTGCGGCCGATGATCGCCATGCCTGGATTTGACCAATAGGAGGTGGCAAAGCTGGGTCCGCCAATCATATGGTCGCAATCGGCAAGAAAATGACGGTCGTTCCACTTTTCAACCAATCGTGGGCGGCGTCCGGAAACGGTGGTCGCTTGCAGAGGTCTTTACTCGAGCCAGCACACATGGACGGCCCGCCCCGGTCCAAGCCGCGTGCTCGGCGCCCGACGCTCGAGGTTGCGACAGCGCAGGACGCGCCCAAGCTGCCGTCCAAGTCGGCGCCTATAGACGCGAAGAAGCCATCGACGATGACGCTCAACCCGAATGCGTCGGTGTTTACCTTCTCGCCCGCAGCGGTGGCACCGCCGCCCAAGAGCCACGAGCGCCGGCGGCGGCCGACAAAGCAGGTCGACGCCATGACGCCGACAAGCGCGGGGTACCTGCCGTCCACAGAAGAGTCGCCGTCCAGCACGCGCCGCTCGCATCTGCTCAAGGACGGATCGCGACCGGTCATTGGCCATCGCCACAAGAAGACCAAGAACAGCGCGACGGCGCCCAGCGTGGGGCCTTCGCCGACCGCCAAGCAGGTCGCTACCAAGGTGGCCGTCAAGACAACCGTGCCGACGACCGTCAAGAAGAAGAAGACAAAGCCGAAACTACAGATCATGCGCCGGCCACGCAGCGACAGCACGGGCGGGAGCTCGTCGGAAGAGGACGATGAAGCGTACCCTGCGAAACCCGCAGCCAAGGCGAGTGCGTTCACAGACCGCCTCGCCTTTTCGCTGCCGCAGAAGCGCATTCCCAAACGGTACGCTCTATCGCGTGCCCATGGCATGCTTCCTCATGTATGCGTCATAGCGTCACCCGCGAAGCCGTCGTCGACACCGTCTTCGAAGCGCTCTTTGCCAACAAGCTGTCGCTCGACTCGGGCAGCGAGTCGGAAGAGCCGAACGAGCACTTTGTCAAGAACGGGCTCACGTCGATCCTCTTCTCGAACGGCGTGAGCTTGAACTTGAACGACGCGAACGCGGAAACCACGACCATGGACCAGTACATCACACCCGTCTTCATCCACCGCGTACATACCTTTGTCAGTTCCCCGACCCTCGTATGTACAATATTGTCATGTAGCTGATCACCGAAATGCGCTTTGAAGACTACCGGACATCGAGCGCCCGGCTACACATTCTGCGCGCGATCCACAAGCATTTGCCGCACCGGCGCGATCACATTTCACGGGCGTTGGCCGACGCCACGTACTTACGCCTCGAGTACCTCGAGGCCGTCCACGCGGAAGCCCAGCGGCAGTGCAAGGAAGTCGCGCTCGTGACGGCCGAGACGTGCCAGACCAACATGGCCGCAGCAACGCGCAGCGTCAAGAACAAGAACTTTGACCATGGCCACAGCTGGACCGAGTTTCTCCGGTACGAGCTTCGTATTTCAACGGTCGAGTTTGACAGTGAAATCATTTCTTAGGTACGCGATCGAACACATTGGGATGGGCGGCGAGGCCGACGGCATTCTTCAAAACTACGCGCGGGCGTGGACGCACCTCATGCGCTGCCACTACCTCGACACGGCGGGGTCGGACGAAGACGAACTCGTGACGGCCGGCGGTCAGTTTGTCGCGTACGTGCCGTCGATGGCGGCCGAGCTGCTGCGCCGCCTCTTGCACGCGTGGCCGCGCCGCCAGCCGGGCCGCCAAGCCCTCGCGATCCGCGCGGCGGCCCGCATTCTGCTCTCGGCGCCCCGCTTTGACGGCGCGGTCGTCGTACGGCTCTTCCAGACGCTGGGCGCGTGCATGCAGGAGCCGCACATTGCCGTCGCCAAGGAAGCGCTCGCGTTCAGCGGCTGCCAGTTTGTCATGCTCAACTACGTCCAGCTGCACGCCGAGATCTACGCTGCGCTCTCGAGAAGCTTTAACCGCGTGTCGACGGCCCACTGGAACGACGCCATCCGAGGTCTCGGCGCCCGCCACTTTGACACGATCCTCGACTTTGCACCCTAGTCGCCACCTTTTGTGATACTACTACACGACCCTCTTAGAGACTGCCACATCTTAGCCGTCTATCGTATGGCCGTGGTCATGACCCTGCAGCAAAGAACCAGAGGGAAACATGGGGGCAAGCTGGCCAAAGCCCAACCGTGGGTCGACCGGCATGGTGAATGAGCTGCAGCACAAGGTTTAGAAAAGAGCAGGCAGACGTAGCTGGTCGGTCAAATGAACGAAGACTAAACACCACAAAAATGACGTCGGGTTACACGTCCTGGATCTTGGGCGGCGTCGCCTTGCAGCTGGAAAAGTCAAAGCCGCAGGCCATCGAGATGACGAGGTAGATGACGAGCTAGAACAGAGGCGCTTATGAGGTCCGATACATAAGAGAGCGAGCGTACGAGGCCGAGGCAGCCGAGGCAGACCCACATCTTCATGCTGCGCCACCACATGACCTTGCGCAGCTTGCGCGACTTGCGGTTGAAGACGAATGACTGCTGGCTCAGCTGGTCGGTGCGGTCGACGAGGAGCTCAAACTTCTCACCGCGCCCCAGTACTTTTTCTAGGGCAACATGGATATGGCGGGACGGCCATTCAAGTCCGCACCAATGTTTTCGACCATCGTGTCCTTGACGTCGTCGAGGGTTTGCTGCACCTGGACGACCGTATCGACGTCAGGATTCGCGTTGAAGTAGTCCTGCAAAGCATGAGATAGCGATCGATCGCGACGACGTACCATTTGGCGCTGGATGACGTGCTGGAACTCGGCGTTCATGGCAAACGCGATCGCCGTGCGGCCTCGATCCCCATATGTCGTCAAGAAGCGGGCCTAGGCCATGGGCGTGGGCGAAAGCGACTGCGGCGACGACAGCGTACCTTGAGGTCGTCGAGGAATTGGAACGGGACGCGCCGCTTGAAGTCGTTGTCCGCCATGCAGAGATACGTGATACCATCCTTGACGACGTAGTGGAAGACATGCCTAGCATATGCCATGAGCCTCGGCGACGCATGCACATGCGGCCAACTTGTCGTAGACGTAGGACATCTTGCTGTCGTCGACCGGGATCTTGGCGAGGAGCACGCGCGTGACGGTCGGGAAGTTGCCGGACGACGCCGTGTACTCGGCGAGGACGGTCTTCCCGCGGGCGATGAGCGCGTAGACCTACATAGCGTCAGCTTCTTTCGCGTCCATGCCAGGTCGTCGTACGATGGGCATGGCCTCCTTCTTCGGCCCAACACAAAATCAATTGATCTTTCCTTCTTCGGCCCTGTCGCTCGGAACGCGGATTGGTTGAAATGATAGGATTTCAGCCAATCGCCGCTCGAAAGTGCTTGCTTAAGTCATCAACGTGTGTTGGTCCTTGTCCGTTGCGGTGCACATAGATCACTATAGTTTAAAACACCGCACTTAAGTTCATTCTTGTCCATGCACGTTGGACCATCGTAGCGCCTTTCTGCACAGTGATACAACTCACATGCTCTTATATGCAAGGACCAGATGCGTCGAGCAATTCCATCTCCAAAACTAGATTTAGGAGCGGTGCAAGTCCTGCCGTTAGGTATTAATGGGCGTGGGTTTAGACGATTGTCTTGATCGTGTCCACGTTTACAAACGCATGGGGTTGGCCAAAATGTGTCGATTTTCAAGCCAATCCGAATCCACCTTCGAAAATGGTGGCATATCTTTCGGATCTGAAATCTTCCTGCGCTGATGGCTGCATGGAGCCTCGCGTTCCGCGATCGCGTCGGCGATGTCATGGACGGTGGGCTCACGGTTGACCTCTCCATGAAGGCGCCGCTGCTCGATGAGATGGCAGCGCTTCTCGAGGCCAACCCGCGCTCCGACGGCGACGCCAAGCCGCTGCAAGAGAGCATGCTCGCGCTCTGGGTTCTTCTTCTCAGCCATGTCGACAAGATCTCTGTGCTCAAGTACAAGTACATGTGTTACCGCCTGCTCGAGGCCCTCGTCCAGCGCGACGAGTTTCTTCTCTTGCACCTCGACTTTGACTTCAACACAATGGACGTGCGCAAAGATGGCGACCGCGACGCATGGCGCCTCGTGCATCTCTACCGAAAGCTCGTGGGCGACACCTTTGTGCACGCTTCGTCGCTGCTCTTGCGCAACACGCTTTCGATCGAGCTCCAGCGCTTTTGCGCGCTCGTGGCCACGCGAGCGTACTTTGTGTTTCCGCTGCTGCAAGCGCCGTTCGTCGACATTTGCAACCGGCGCTACTGCCAGCACAAACCGCTTCGACCGACCACCTTGCACGAGATGCTTCAAGCACAGCGTCGCGCCCACCTCGCCAAGTGCACTGACACGACGTTCATGGACGCCTGTCCGGACCTCTTTCACTGGGGTTGGCTCGCCAAAGACACCGACGCGGCCTCACTGCTGCCCGACGACAGTCCGTGGCGCCTCGTGCTGGCTTCGGACGGCAGTTTGTTTGTGCTGTTTGTGCAAGCGTTTAACGCGTGCGTGGCGTCCGTAACGCACCGCGCCGGCGTGCACGCGCCCAACTGGAGCATGGTGCCGGGGTACCTCGACCTCATGCAGCTCTTTGCGCTGGTCGTGTTTGACACGACCGTGTGGCTCAGTCACGTGCCGTCCGTTGGCGAGCTCACGGTATCCCTGCGATTGCTGCAATGTCCATATCTGACGTCGTTATGGATGGCATAGACGTCAGCGATGTTTCCAATGACGTTTTCATTGGTCGACCAAGTGCTGGAGGGTGCGTCGAGATCCATGGCCAACCCCGGTATGGTACAAGTGCTTTTGCCCACGGTGGTCGTGGGCCTGCAGCAGCATACCTCGTGGCACCCCGCGGGCTTGACGCGGTCGCTCCGCGCCATCTCTCGCTGGATACACATGGCGTCGCAACCGTACGTCAACAGCAGTGCAGGCGGTGGGAACCAGAGCGAGTCGTCTACTACGCTCCAGAGCCTGCACTTATACCCGTCCTTTGTGCCGCTTGGGGCCATGATACCACTGCTGCTGCAATGGCTGGCGTCCAAGGACGACTCGGTGGCGCTACCGGCGCTGCTCTGGGTCGACGCACATTTGCAGCACATGCCGACGGACGCGAAGGAGCAGCTCGTGTCGACCATCTTGCATCCCAAGCTATTTTATAATCTCTTCCTGCACTGGTCGCCGCATGTCCGCACCGCCATGCACTACCTCTTGACGTACCAGCTCTATCGCCACGACCGGCGCCACTTGCAGCTCCACTCGGACGCGTACAGACTCCATGATGCTGCTGGCAACAAGACGAGGACTCATGTACACATGTAGCGCGTTGCTTCTCGAGCACGCACATGACGTGGTAAAGCCGGACGCGCGCAGCTTGGCCAAGGTCTCGGAGAGTCCGAACTTCATGCTGGACATTTCCAGCGCGAGCAAGATGGAGACGCATGTCTTTGTCTTGACCTCGCCGATCGTCGGTGTCCCGCCCTTCCCCGAGGCTTTGAGCATTTTCGTTGAAGTGTCGCTCGCCGAGTATGCGGCGATGCTGACCCAGTACTATGTGGCGTGCGATGCGGCCGAGGCGAGCTTGGGGCGACGTCTCTACAGTGACGAAGTTGTTGCGGGCCCTGACATCCAGCACTGCCTTGCGCTCTGTTCGACTCAGATCTGAATTTTATATATATATTGTACTAGCTACTTTACGAAACGGCCAGCTTGATACTTTGATAAGATTGTGGCGCGAGTGAAACGCTGCAAAGGCGGCAACATGACGTGTGGTGGTGGCCAGAGCGACCACGAAGACAAGGTAGGCAACCGCTCGTGGCATCGGCAGGTATGAGCGCATGCGACGCGTAGCAACTCTTGCACTGGGTCAACTCGCTGCCGGTGGCCAGCTGCCTCCTTGTCGACTCGTTCGACCAGCTTCGGTCGGGCGATGTCTTTTGCGACATCTTCCGCCTCGTCCACGTACGCACTTGTTACGCGTGTTGCTCAAACGATTGAATATGCAATAGCACAATGAGAACGACGGGGTGCGCGTGATCCTCGGGCCGCCCGCGCAGAAGCTGCAAACCGTGCTCACGTCGGTGCTGCAACTGGTCTCGGCCGCCGAGTGGAGCCACCGCTACCTCTTGCGGGAGCCGGAGACCATCTTGGACATCCTCGACGGCTCGCAAATAGCGATCGCGACCCTACTACGCGCACTCAAGAAGCGCTGGGATCTCGTGGCGCGGCAGGTGCAGCACCGCGACAAACTCGACGCCCAGCTCCAGCGCCAAATCGAAAAACAGCTGCCGTTGCCAGCCGCGGCTCGTCAACCCAAGTCACCGCCGCATGGCTGGAACCCGTCGACACAGCAGAGCGTCAAAGCATCTACGAAGCGGGTGCCCGAGACCCCTAGCGCCCGACCGTGCGCGCGGTCAACGCCCAACAGTACGACTTTACTAGTAAATGGCAAATACGATCTAAACGACGCAGGAGGGCACCGCCGCATGGTGGACGCTGCCGATGCCCCGTACGACCCAAGAGCTTTGGGTGCGACGCCCAAGACGACTCGGGCGACCGATCTCGCAGAGTTCTCAGCGCACATGGCCGAAACCAAGCGAGCGACCGCCTTTGCGATCTGCAAGTGGATTCGATCGCTCGGCATTGCACTCGGCTTTGAAGCTTCGCTCGAAAAGGCGACGGCGTCGAGCTTCCTGACCTCGGCCGCCAATGCTTTCAAAGATGGCGTGATCATTTGCCAACTCACGGCCGTTGCCGTCTACCAGTAACCCCAACCGTTTGGTCGCCCGGACTCCTTCTCATGCAACGTAGTTTGGGAGCGTCGTCCGCCAAAGCCAAGCTGCGCCCTGTGGCGGCGCAACCCGGTACGTTCGTCCCGCAAGGCTGCTGCTTGCAGCCGGTCACGCTCGCCCAGAAGCGACACAACCTGCAGCTCGCCCTCCACCTGCTTCGCGAGATCCCAGAAGTGACGCACCCGGTCGTGTGCGCGCTAGATCTTTACGACCCGCTCGCATCGGCCTTTGACAAGCACATCTGGACGCTTCTCCGCGTGCTGTACAAGCTGAGCCGCAACAAGGAGCGTAGTCCGCCGCCGTCGCGGGACCGCCCAGTCCCATCACCGCCACCCGCCCCGCCAACGGAACGCAGTGGCAGTAAGAACGAGGTGGTGTTTCCCAGCGTGTCGTCGGAGCAAGTACACGCAGTGCGCGACTGGCTACAGCACCTCGGCCTCGATGCGTCGTCGGTACGTGCCATAAGATGATTGCCTTTGGAAACAAGACACGATTGTGCGTAGACGAGCACGGGACTGCTCGCCGATCCGTACCGCAATGGCAGCTTTCTCTGGTAAACTAAATGCCTCGAACCAAAGCTCACAGAATGCCGAATTTGGGTTGTAGCGACGTGCTCAACCGTTTGGTGGCGCGGGACCGAGAACTCACGTTTCACCGGTCGCCAAAGACGCTGCACCAGGCCAAAGCCAATTTGCAAGCCGGTTTCCATTGCTTGCACGCACAGCGCATCTCGCTGCCTCCTCTCTACTGGTCGCTCGAGCACGGGTACGGCCTTCTAAAGGGGCACTTCCACGCCGTCTACGGCTTTTGGTGGCACCTGCAGCAATCGCTACAGGCATCGACGCCGGTGACGCCACCCGCGCCACCCGCCATTGGCCACGAGCTAGGAACACGCAAGATTCTGGTCGCCGAGTGGCTGCGCGCCAAAGGCTTTCTGAACGACCTACGCACTATTACAGCCACGCAGCAGCATTGGTCGTTTGAGATGCTCAAGGTAGGACGCTCCACACTCTAATTTCTTAGCGTGTCGATGATGCAGCCGTGTCTGGTCAACGGCACCCTCTTGCTGGCGATGGCGTTGGCCCTCACGCAGAGCAGGAATGGAGTATGTCACGTCGTGCTCGATCCAATGCCAACATCCGTGGCGCGGGCGCACATTGCAGAGGCGCTCGAGCATTTGCGGTCGATGCCGTCGATGCCCCAGCGCTTTCTCTGGTGCGAAGACAAGGTGCGCGATGATTTCGCACATAGTACGATGGAAGCCGGGGTTGGTGTAGGTGCGAGCTGGCGACGACGTCGTGCTGCTGGGGCTTTTGGAGGATCTACAAAGCCTCGGCGACACCCCCGAGGTAAACCACCTCTGATGAGGCAAATCGCTGGACGACGGTAGGTGGCGGCGCCGCGACGAGGCTTGCCACGCGCCGTGGTCTCCACCGCCCACTTGCTGCCGATTCGAGAAGAGGACGATGACGACGCGACTGATGCGGGAAGCACGAACCTCGAGTGCGTGCACACGCAAGCGGCGATCTCGAGCTCGCGCCAATGGCGGGAGATCGATATCGACACGGACTTCGACTTGCTGCCGCGCGCCCACGCAGACGGGTTTGAGATCGAAGAGGAAGCGCGGCCACCGTCACTGCCGTCGCCTCAGGCGCCGCCTCAGTTCATCCGACGACAGTCCATGGGACCGCAACCCGTCGTCGCCAATGCTGCGCTACCGGCCGTCGAGACCGAGCTTCTCACTACGTGGCTTGAGCATCTCCAAATCAAACCGATTCCGCGCCTTGAAGTAGTCCAACCGTTGAAAGCTTGATTCAAGACGGCTCGTAGGGCGCTACGCTGGACGAGTTTCGCGACGGCCTTTTGCTCGTAGAGGTCATCGAGAAGGTCGAGCACATTCGTGTGCTCGAGGGTGTGTGCCGACAGCCCAAAGGCAAGAAAGCGCCATGCCTCCACAATATCAAAAAAGTGCTCGACATTCTGCGCCTCAAAAAGGTCGTTTTGGTGCATTCCCATATTTCCTTGTGGGATTGTTATTACATTTCGTAGACAATGCCGCTGGTTCTCTTACGCAAAGACCGTGAGATTTACGCCGGGGACCGCGCTGTTATCTTGACGCTGCTGGATCAAATCCGCAAGGTGCGCGCATGCGCCTTGGTACCAGATCATTCACGTTGCTCTTGCAGGCGTATGGGTACCAGCATTTAGTCGTCCACTCGAAACCAAGCGGCGCGTAGCTTTTTATCGATTATACGTCCACGACATTGGAGTTGCATTGTAGTAACAACGCTATAGACAGTTAGACAGCGTTTGTATGACAATGTGTTCTTGAATTCTGAAAGCAGACGAGCGCCGCAACCGCAGCCAAGGACTATGACAGATTCGCATTTCACTAGGAACGCTTCACTTTCGAAATTTTACAAAACCCAACATTATTTGATTTCGTAGAAATTGCGCTCGCATTCGCATCATTTAAGAAATGGATCACTAAGTGCGGTATGCAAGGCGTTGCGTGCATCTGTGCATCTGAGTTGCACCCACGCCACACATCCGGTGGTGCTATCACCTTGATGCTGGGAGCTGACTGAGTCAGAGGCTACTCTTTATCATGACAGCCTAACGGGGGTAGGAGGTTTTTTTAAATCGAGCTAGGACCAGCCTTCAACGTAGATGGGCGCTTATAGCTGCTGCGTGGATGGGCGCTGATAGGCGCGGCGAAGGTGCTTTGCCACGCCACCCGACGACTGGCGACACGACAGAGTTGGAATATTCAAAGCTCGACCAAGATTTGACGCCAAACTCAAGCGTTCAGATTCATCGACGAGCTATAAGCTGCAAAGCAATCTGGTCCGTCGAAGGCTCTGTCCGTGCGGTGATCGTAGGCGTACGCTAAAGCCTCGCGGAAGATGCGGAAGACTGGGGTACCCCGCTCAGGCGTTTTATCAGACGTGGTCCCCGACCCTCCAGAAAAATGATCGCAGTGGCCTCCGTGTCTTCCGCTGGGACCCGCCACTTGGGCGTCACCGACAACTTCTACACGACGTCTGCTGCCGTAGCCTCCACAGGTGATTACCCGACGCCAAGTCTAGCCTTTTGGCTGTCCATCTAGAAGGTCTTCTGGGTGGATTTCAACATCGGGCGACCTGGTGGGTCCACCGCGTGCGCCCACGAATCATATGCCGTCGGTGGGTCCTACCAAAACATGTGTCCGATGCGCACGTTGAAGTAGCTTGGGCGGCGCGTGCCCGCCATCCTCTGCACGCCCCACTCGAACAAGAGAGGTCTACGAGCCCCCGTCGGTGTAGTAGTGTCGTCTGGACGTAAGGTCTCTATCAAGCGCGCAAGCTACACCTCATATAACACTGCTCGGAGGACTAGGTGCTGGACGGACGCAAAATATCTCGCAGCGTCGTTCGTCTGTGGCAGTCGGAACAGATTTACAGTACAAACAAACTGATAGTTAGTTAATACTGGATACTCGAAGGTTCGCGACCAAGATTCACGCAGGCGATGGTATCTTAGCACATCGTTGGGCAAAAAGTGATCGCCGATCCGGTGCCAACCTTCGTCGACTGCCACCCTCGACTTCATTTTCCGATTCGCCTCGAAAGCCACCAACATGCCCATTGACCTCGAACGCCCGCAGACGCACCTGCTTCTCAAGGAGGTCGAGCCGATGTCCCGCACGCGCAAGGCGCTCCTCGGCCTTGGCGCCGGCCTCGTGCTCCTCGGCGCCTACTCGGCGACCGTCGCGCACACGGAGCCGGCACTCCCGTCCTTCAACATGGAGACGGTCCAGCTCGCGGCGTCAGCGGCGTGCACGTTCAACGACGGCGACCTCATCACGGTGCAGGCCGACACCGGCAAGCTCCTCGCCCGTTGCAACGGCTGCGTCCCGAACGGTGCCAACCCGGATTCGGCCTTCTTCCATGTCTCGACGTCGACGGGTAACCCGTGGGCCGTGTGGAAGGTCACCAACACGGGCAACGGTAAGCTTGCGCTCCAAGCCGACTCTGGCAACTTCTTGGCGCGCTGCAACAACTGCGCGCCCGGTGCCGCGTACCCGGATGAGGCGTTCGTCCACGTCAAGGACTGGCGCACTGGTCCGTGGGCCCAGTGGACGTGCGTCGACGCTGGCAACGGCAAGATTGCCTTCCAAGCCGATTCTGGCAACTATCTGGCGCGCTGCAACAACTGCGTCTCCGGCGGTGCGTACCCGGATGCGGCCTTTGTGCATGTCAACGCCTACACCAGCGGCCCGTGGGCGCAGTTTACGGTCAACCGCCTCCCGTCGCCCGCATGCACGTTCACGGACGGTCAAGTGATTGGTCTTCAGGCTGACACTGGCAAGTTCCTTAGCCGCTGCAACAACTGCATCCCGGGTGCGGCGTACCCCGACTCGGCCATGCTCCACGTGCCAGCGCTCGCGGGCAACCCGTGGTCGCAGTGGAAGGTCTACAACACTGGTAACGGCAAGCTCGCGTTCCAGGCGGACTCTGGCAACTTCTTGTCCCGCTGCAACAACTGCGCGGCCGGCGCTGCCTACCCGGACGAGGCGTTCGTCCATGTCAAGAACTGGCGTGATGGTGCGTGGGCGCAGTTTACGTGCGTCGACCTCGGCAACGGCAAGATCGGTCTCCAGGCCGACACGGGCAAGTTTGTCTCGCGCTGCAACAACTGCGTCCGCGGCGCGTACCCCGACTCGGTCATGATGCACGTCGCCAACGCCAAGGACGGCCCGTGGTCGCAGTGGACGGTCGTCAAGCCGTAAGCAACCACTTGCGTTGCCCGTCCCCGCTCGCTACTGCTGCGCGCATTTTGCATGTTTTGGAGATGTAATCTCAAAGGAATGGACGGGACTTGTCTTTGATGCTGCTTGTTATTACTCCTCGAGGTGGTACTTTCAAACAAAAGGCTTGTGGTGTTCGAATGGCGACTAGCAGTGGAAGAAGCTCTTTGGGACTGTGTCAGCTCTGACGCGATCTACCAAGCGCTCAATGGAAGGATGCAGCGGATGTGTCTCGGTGACGCTGGCGCGTCGGTTGATGGCTTGCATCGTGGGTCGTCCCGCGCGCTGCTATTCATAGCAACCTCGAGTTTGACATGGAGGCAACTCGTAGAAAGGCCAGAAATAGACGGGACATGGCGTCGCGCATCGCCCAGCGGCGGTCCGTGGCCGCCCCGACGCGTCTTCAGACGGACGCCGCCAAGCCACGGCCGTCGGTCGCAAGCCCTCGCAGTAGTAGCATCCCACCGGCGAGCAAGACACCACCCGCAAGCAAGACGCGTCCGCCGCCGGCGCCGACGTCGACGATCCCGAAACCACGACCGTCGACGGCGTCGTCGTCCAACATTCAGCGCACGGCATTGCCACGCTCGGCGACGAGCCGCATATCGTCCGCACCTCGGTCAACGCTACTGGAGAAGAAGCCACCGCTCATTCGACAAGCGACCACCTCGTCGCTGCTCAAGCCACCGAGTGCGATCGAGGTAGCACTGTGTCATCTCGTTAGTGCAAATGTCAACCGGATGCCTACTAGACGTCATCCAAGACCAAGCCTGTGATGCGCAAGACGGCATCGCTCTCGACGCCAGCGCTCGTGCTGTCGACGGCACGGCCAATCGAAGCGGCGGCCATGGCAGCACTGCAGTCGTCGCCAACCGCCAAGGCCGCCGCCAACCTTGATCTCGCGATTGAACGGGAAGAAGGTGCTGCCAAGCTCGCAGCGTGCAACGAATCGCTCGAAGCAAGGGACGCCGAGTTGGCAGCTACGGTATGCGAGTTCACTGCCAAGAACACCGAGCTTACTGCCAAGAACACCGAGCTCGCAGCCAAGAACACCGAGCTCGCAGCCAAGGGCGAGGAATTGGCTGCAAAGGATGCCTTGCTCGCAACCAAAGAGGCCACGATCACAGACTTCAGCACTGCGTGTGCTCGGCTCAAGGCCGACTGCGAGACGTACGCAACGACAGCACTCAACTGGAAGTCCAAATGCGAAGCCGCTGAGGCTGCCACGCTCATGTGGCAAGGCAAGTGCGAGGCTCTGACGCGTGAGCTTCAGCACGCACAAACAAGTGCAATGTCGATATCGAAGGACGATTTATTCAAGCCAGCGATGGCACGCCGGAGCAGCTCGTCGGTGCTGCTGCGTGCCAACGCCGCGTGGGTCCAAGCGGCCGAGGGCCTTGAGCACAACTTGGCGGACGCGGAGACGCTCATCCAGCACTTTCACAGCGACAGTGACGCGCCGACGTCACCGATGATGATGCACCGCACGTCGTCGTTGGTGCTACCCGACACGATCGCGGCGCTCGACGCGCAGCTCCAACGCATGCCGCTTCAGCTCGAGGACGAGACGATGGCGAGCCAACAAGGCTACGAGCGCGACCTCTTCAACCTCAAGAAGGAACTCCGGCGCCTCGGCGAGTACGTGCGGTCCCAGCAAAGCGTGACGCTCCTCGAAGACGAGTTCAAACAGTACAAGCTCAGCACGGAAGAGAAGCTCCATCGGTCCCACGATGAGCTCCATAGCCTTCGCGCCAAGCTTTTGGGGCTAGCCAAGACGCACTGCGAGCAGATGGCCGAGGCCGTCACGCGCATGAACGTACTCGAAGACACGATCGAAGCGCTCCAAGCTGGCGCACCAGTCGCCGAGCCCGACGACCACATGGCCGCGTGGAAGGTCGAGCGCGACCAGCTAAGCGCCACGATTACGTCGTACGAGCGCACGCACGTTGAACTCCAGACGCAACTGGCGACGCTCCAAGCGTCGGTCGCGAGCATGAACGAGGAGAAGCTGCTGCTCACAGCGCAATGCTCGTCGCTCCAGAGCGCGCTCGCCAGTCGCAAGGACGTTGACGGCGTGTGGGACGTCATGTCGTCCACGTCGGCGTGGGTCGTTGACGTCCTGCGGGCGCAGCTCGACCAGTGCTATGTTCGTCGCAGCGTCTATGCGCGAGAGCCATCGCGAGCGTCGAGCGCTCGGGTGCTCGAGCTGGAAGCTACGCTATTAGATCGCGAGTCGCAAGCGCGCGAACTCCAAACCCAAAAGCGCGCGCTGGAGGCCCAGGTGCGCGAGCTTGAAAACCAAGTGCGAGATCTTGACGTCGTCGCGAGCGCAAGCGTGGACATGGAAAACTTGCAGCTGCAGCTTGACGGGCAAGAGCGCCAGCTCACGGCGCTGCGAGCGCAAAAACACCACGAGAGTGTCGAGAACCATGCGCGGATCGCGGCGCTTGAACTCGAGCGGGACGAACTTGAGTCTGGAGCGCGCGCATCAGGTGTGCAGTTGCAGCAGCTGCAAAAGCACATTGTATCGCTCACCGCGCGGTACGACCAGGAGCAAGCCAACAGCGTGCAATTGGACGCGACGTTGGAGGCGCAGCAAGCCCACATCACGGCGCTTGAGCGTACGAAGGCGACGATGGCGACCAAGATGGCGCAGCTGGAGCGGGCGCTCGCGCTCGCCGACAAGCAGCACGCAAATCATCGACAGCTCTTGGACCGTGACCACGCTGCCTCGGCGACGCTGCATCTGGAGATCGCGCACTTGAAAAAACAAAACGACGGGCTCGCGCAGCTTCTCGGTCGTCAAGAGGCGGCACTCCACGACGCGCAGAAGAGCGTGACCGACCTCGAAGCCCAAGTCGAGCGCTACCAGCTGCAGCAAGTCGAGTTGGATCAGTACAAGCACGAGGTCGAGGCCATGGAGGAGATTCTTGAGGCCAGCAGTCCGCTCCGCGGCGCGGCCGTGCGGCCGCACATGCCATCGTCGTCGCCGCCGTCGCCAAGTGCCAAGCGAAGCGCGGACCCCCACGTGGCCATGTGGCGCGAGCGCTGCGCTGCGCTCGAAGGTACAAACGCCGCGCTGCTAGCAAAGCTCCAAGCAAAGGACGAGCCTGACATCCGCTTCTACGTCGCTCAAGTAGATGGTCTCGAAGAGCGCCTGAGCGAGCAAGCCGCCATGTACCAAGGCCTCCTCGACGACGCCCAAGCGCGTTGCGATGCGCTCAGCGCCAAGTACGACGCCGCGATGCGACAGCTCTCGACGCTACCGACAAGCCTCGACCAAAGCATCTAGTGTCGTAATCGCAGCACCATTGCTTAGAGCTCGTCCTTGATGTGCGCAAACGACGCTGTCGTGGCGGGCAGCTGCAGGTGCGCGAGGAGGAGGTGCGCAGCGTTGCGGCCGCTAAGCGCGCTCATCTCCATCGCACTCGCCGCGTTCTCGATCGCATTGGGGTACACAAGGCCGGGCAGCACCTCGAACGGGCCGAACACCTCGGGTACGTGGAACGTCGGATACGCCGCCCACGGATACGTTTGGACAATCTCAAAGCGCGGCTCAAAGAAGGTCGCCAAGACGGCTGGGGTCATCGGCGCCCGGGAAAAGACCTTGTACAAGCTCACGCCGTCTACACGTTGCACTATGCAGTGGCGGGAGCATGGAGAGATGTACCTTTGCGGTACTGCAAGCCGATCGAAGAGAACGGAAGCGACGTGTTCTCGGTCGTCAAGATCGTCTCGGGCACGTCGGAAGGTCGCTGAAAGTACGCAGAATGCAACTCGCCTTGGACAAACGTCGTGTATGTCATTTGGAAGCGACGTGGCGCAATGTGCACTTGCGATGGCAGCGCCACGTTGCTGAGCTCGAGCGGCGCTGCGATGACGACGGCGCTGCACGTGGCCCCGCTTCCGCCGGACGTCATGAGTTCGAACGTGCCGTCGGTTGCAGGTGTGATGGACGTGATGGTTGTGTTGAGGTAGACATCGGCGTTGGCCTCGCGCAAGAGGCCTTCGGGGATCTACGAAGGTCCTCGTAGAAACGGGCAAAGACAGTTCGTCTACCTGGTAGTCGCCGCCGACGATCGCACGCAGGTCGTCGCCCGAGCCCGCGAGGCCCACAAGACCGCCAAAGCCGCTCATCGTCGTGTTTTGGCCATAGTTGACGCGCGTGATGCTGGCCATGAGCTCGTTGATGAGCCGCGGGCTCACGCCGTTGGCCACCATGATGGCTTCCAGCGACGTCTTTGTAGTCTCCAAGAGACCTACAATGTGCTACAGTGCATTGAAGCAAAGTCGAAGTAGTAGTACCGAGAGCCGCGAGGAGGTCAGTGGGTGACGCGTACGCGGCGCCAGCGTCCTGGAGCGTGTAGATAGCGTCAAACTTGTCGAGTGTTTTCTGGACGATATTCTTCATGCGCTTGAGATTCAGCGGCCCGTAGCGCCAGAGCATCTTGGCCATGGTCACGTAGCTCGACGTCGACGTTTCCAACGCAAAGTCGTCGCCCGTAAAGATACCCATGCGCAACGTGCCGTCAATAAACTGCCCGGGCTTGACGAGCGTCAGGCCTAGTCGCTGCGCAAAGCCGACCATGTACTTGTTGTTGACGTGGATGATTGTCCCGCCGGCCTCGATCTTGACACCGCGGTACGGGAACGCGTGCATGCGACCGCCCACGTGGCCTTCCTTCTCAAAGACGCTGAGGCGGACGCCGGCATCCGCGAGGAAGTGAGCTGCGCTGGCGCCCGCAATGCCCGAGCCCACAATGCATACATGCGGCGGCTCGGCAACGACGCAGTTGAGAGCAGCGACCGCAAGACCAAGAAGGAATCCTCGCAGCATCGTGTTAATCCGAAAATGGCAAATTTCGAAGATCGCAACGGTACTGTTTATTGCAGTAGAGCGGTAAATTACGGTTCTTTTGAACAGTTTACGGCAAACTTGGACACAGAACAGGTGCATTTCAGCGGCAAATTCCGCGTTTTCTGGACACAGTGCTGACGTACACAGCTGGTGTGCGTCTATACACGTACATGAGTGGACCCTTGCTGTGTCGAATCACCTGTCGCTTGGTGTGTGTGGTCACGGTCCCGCCGGCCGAAAAACTCAGATTTGGATCACCATTTGACGACCACATGCATATTTACGGTATATTTGTATCAGATCCTTACGGATCGCCGATCGTCGCCGCCTGGCACGCGCAGTAGGCGTTGCCGTGGTCGTCTCGACACGAGGCTTGTACCCTGGTGAAGGCAGTTTGGTTTAGCCACGTTGGCGGCTTGAAGACGTCATCTAATGTCGCCATCACTTGAGAGCTCGTCGAGAGCACGAGAAAGGACGTCGAGAAGAGATCCGCGGCGTCGACTCTGTACCGACCCGGTGGCCACGCGCGACCGTCCCTATCGAGTCGAATACCCGCCAGCGCAGTGGTCGGCGGCAGTGTCACAGCCACCTGCAGCGAATCGCGTCGACCTTCGTCGTCCGTGATGCGCATGCGAATCTGCGTGACGTTGGCGCCGCTGGGTATCGCAAGACCGAGCCAGATCCCATCGATATGGTCGTTCAAGACAATGCCTGGCAGTCCCTGGATGCTTTGGCCGTCCCAGCCGTCGGATACGACCACCGCCAGACCCGGCGTCATATACTCCCTACATGGACAAAAGCTCAAATGGCAGCCGGCTTGAGGTAGAGTCGTACGTATGATCAATAGATACGAGGCGCGTCGCCATCGTCTTTGGAAGCGACGTCGGCGTGAGTATGCCCGCCACGGTCACGCCCAGAGGACAGGCGGCTAGCGGGGCTGTGATCTCGTCTTCGTAGCGCATCGTGAAGTTCGTCACTCGTGGCTGACTGCAGCTAAAGTTGGCGTCGCCCGGCCACGTGTCAAGATAGAGACGGCCGAGGATATAGCCGGCCACGACCTAGGGCCAACTTGACGGACGAAAAGTAGTCTTAGCGACGTACGCGCATGTGGTCTCGGTCGAGCGCTGGGCAGGTGCCCGGTAGCAGCTTGGCACGTGGCACAATGTCAATGCACTGGGTCGAGTCGCAAATCGAAGTGGCACGGGCGACAACGAATGACGGCGTCGCGTCCGGCTGCCACGTACTATACTGCAGAGAGAGCGTCGTCAAAGTGGCCAAGGCGATGATGACAGCAAAGAACATCTTGAGGCGCCGCCAGCGCTGCAGCCGCGCTCGCTGGTGCTGCTCGATCTGAGAGAGGTAGCTGTTCATGTGCAGCGGCGCGCGCCGCCGCGGGTTGCTCAAGAGACTGCACACTTCGTCGTCGTCGTCGCTCCCCACCGGGTACTCGTCGCGGTAGGACATGATCCTTTGAGATCCCGTTGGATTCTTTCGAAACTCGACGCGGATTTTATTTTTCTGACGTGGCAGCGTCCAATGCGTTTATTCGAAGATTGTGGGTTAAACCCACCCACGTGGGTTTTTGTACCGGCTCCAGCACCTGCCGCTGCCACGTCATGTGGTCGGTTGCGATTCACCAACAAAGTCCGTTCCAAGCCCGTGAACATATATATATATATGAACGTGTTATCTTTGTTGTAACAAAGACTTCGCATACGTAGAGACCAGCAATCTCCCTCTTCATTCGCTCGCCGGGCCGTGGCAGGCGGCAGCTCGTCTGGCTCTTCTGTCGTCGCCCCGCGACGCCTGTGGCCGCGGGTGAGGCACTAGACGACACAGTCGGTGAAATCTTTCCAGGCGTCGCGGTCGGCGGCAAAGCTACACAGTGTGTCAAGGTCCTTGAGAGACGCCAGCGACTGAGGCGGCGTCAGCGACGGGAGGTCGCAGTGGATGCCTCAAAATCGCTCGCTCGATTTAAGTGGCATGGAGAGCAACACCCTGACGCTCCAAAACAAGGGGCCGAATGACCGATACACAAAGACAATGTGCTATCAACCAAGCAGCCACCATAGGTGGAGGAGATGGCCAAGAAGGGTGTCAAATTCCCTGCAAGAGCACAAAAAGCCTGGAACCTCCGTGCATCTGTAGGTTACTTCTTCCCACCAACTTCCGTACCCGTCCCATGATTAGCCTCCAATTTAATTAGCAACACACATTTCGAGAATGTGTGGTGCTTTTCCTGATTTGCAAAATTTCGGCGCCTGTGATTGGTCGAAATGCACCAATCGGGTGCGAAACCGCTCGTAGAAGGGACTACACACCTTCTGAAACGACCACCAGCTTTTGCGCTCGTCATGTCCTGTCGCTGTACTGAGACCCAAGAAGCCAACGAAGTGATTCATATTCCTTTTCAATCGTTATCTTTAGCATGCCGACAAGCTACTCGGCCGTCTCGCTGGCCTTTGCCAACACCCGCAGGCGGTATTCCCAGCGCGCCTCCAAAGGCAGCACCGACACGATCGATGCATCCATACTTCGCATTGCGGTCATCCTTGCGCTGTTCATTCTCGTTCTTGCCGCCTCTACGTACATGGTGATCCTCAATTACGTATCCGACTACCGCAAGACGACGCACCAGCGCAACATGCTGCTACCTCATGCGACGAGCTTCCATGAGGCGTCACAAGACGCCAATTAACTTACAGTACAATATACATTCCTTCATTTCAGATTAAGAAAGCACCTAGACTGTCTTGGCGTAGACCATAATGGCGGTCGCATGCAAGGCGATGGTCGCAGCACAGGATGACTGGAGCTCCGAGATCTCCTGCGCCGCTCGCTCGGCCTCGCGCTGCCACGCCAACGCTTCCACCTTGAACGGCTGCCGCTGACCCGTTCCCGCCTTGGCGTCTGCGCGTACTTCGTTCAAGACGCGCTCAATCGTGGAGGTCTTGCGCTCCAAGTGGTGCAGCTCCGACTCCTTGGTCGCAAGCGCTTTACGGGCAGTGGCCAGCGCCTCGTGCACGGTTCGCAGTGCCAGCACGCTTCGTTCGAGATGGCTGTTGCGGCGTCGGAGGTTCGCGCGTATGAAACGCTGGCGTGCGAGGCTCTCTTGCAAGCGCCCATAGGCGCGTCGCACGTTGTTTAGCTCCTTTGCCAATGCCGCGTGGTCGTTGCCATGTTCGCGCGCGTCCAGTTCGTGCTGTAATTCTTGGAGCTGCAGCTGCAACGCGGTGGTGTCCCGCTTGTATGTTTCCTTCTGCTTCTTCAAGCTGGCTGCGACACCTCGGTATTGCTGCTGCCAGACTTCGATTTCGACAACCGGCGACGGCGTGGTGGGTGCCGTTGTTGTCTTCTGCGCACGGGCCAGCTCCGCGACCAAGGTATCACAGCGGTCTTGCAGTGAGACGATCCGCGCCGTCTTGGCAACGACTTCCTGCGCCGCCACGCGTGCGTCTCGGAGCTCGGCGGTTTGATCTTGCAGGCACTTGGCTTGGATCACAGCGCGCGCTTGAAGTTCGCGAATCACGTTGCGTGCGATGTTGAGCTGCTTGCGCACGTGCTCGTACTTGCGCTGCGCACTGCTACCACGCATTCCGTCGTCAGTGGGCGTTGTACGATCGCATTGGGTGAGCTGCAGCTGGAGCTCGGCCACTTGTTCGTCATGGTCATTGGACAAGTGCACAATATGCTGCTTGAAGCGCTGGAGCTCGTTCTCGAGTTCGCGCACTTTGGCCTCATGCGACGCCGCGCGCAGACTCGCCACCTCAGCTTGCAACGCTTGAATCTGACGTTCGTGCGCAGGTGGCGCGTTGCCACCATTGTCGTTCTCGTCCTCGTCGTCCTCGTATTGGAGGTGCCCTGGCATACAATGCTCGGTGGACGTTAGCTCGCCGTCGTCACTGCGGAAGCGCTCGACGATCGTCGCGCTCGCGTCGTCGTCGTCGTCGCCCACGTCCCACGAGTGAGAGACCACGCTGAGGCGACCAGCGTCTTGTAGCGCTTCGTGCTCGACGACAAGGTCTTCGTACTTTTTCTTCCAGGTAAGCGCCTTGTCGGCAAGCGCGTTGCAATCGCCTTGGAATTTGGCGCAGATCTTTTGCGTATCCGCCAAGACCGACTGGAGATGCGCCACTTGCTGCTGCAAATGACGCACGACGTCGTCTTTCGTGGCCGCGCTCACCTCGAGCGACTGCTTTGCGCGCTCGAGCACTTCCACTTGGTTTTTCAAACCAGCGACGCTCTCGTTTTTGCTGGCTGCAAGGACGTCGCTGGTCGAGGAGAGTGATGTTGGAGGAATGAGCTTGCTACGTGCCTCGACGCCTTCATCGAGCGTCCTCGCAGACGCCGCTTTACTTCGGGGCGTCAGTCGCTTCGCCTACACACGCATGGAAACGTGCTTCGTCATCGAGGGCGTGCTACCTCGATGGAACTGCTACTCGTCGCCGATCGGGGCCGCGTGATGGCGGACGGTCGTCGCTCTGGAAGCGACGTGCGCGGCGAGATGAGATGCGACACCATCGACTGTGTGCGTTGTGGCTTGGGCGGCGCGCTGGTCACAACAGCTGGCGGCGGAGATGTCTTGAGCTTGGACGCTACAGTGGCTTTGCCGCTGGTGGCCTTGGTGGTGTCGGTCGACGGGGGTACGGGAATCCCGCTGTCCGAGAGCTTGCGCTCCAGCGCACGTCGAGGGTGGGCGCTTGCAGGCCGGACGAGAGGCCGCCCCGAGCTCATTCTAGGACCGCAAATTTAGAACTGGTGGCACCAAGATAGACATCCGGGGTAGGGTTCATCGCTAAAAATAGATTGTGTTGCCAAGACGACCGTACTATGTTACAGGGGTTAATGAGAGGCAAGTTACGAGGGCGTTTGGCCGCGGGGTTTCTTCGTAGGCATCTCGTCGGCCTCGACGAGCAGGATACTGCGCAACTCAAGGACGGCGTCGTCGATCGTTGTCGAGTCCGGTTGTTCTGGGCTCGGACTTTCGTGGTGGCAAAGCGCTTCGTACCGCGCCTTCCAGCTCGCCGCGTTCTCTGCCAACAGCTCGCAGTCGGCTTGGAGACGCGTGCACGTCTGCGTAAAGGTGCTGATGATCGCATCCTTGTCCGCGAGCGTCGCTTGCAGCCGGTGGTAGTGCATTGTCATTTCCTCGAGCTGGCGCTCCACCTCGGTCGTCTTGGGCGGACTCGAGTTGCTCGTACGGCGCACGACAGGCTCGGGCTGAAGATCGAGCTTGGAGGACCGGCGGGACGCGAGCATCGGGTTGCCGGGCGGGTGGCAGAGCACTTTGGGCGGTGACCCCTGACACGCGTCAATACGATAGGCATGCAGGCGAAATCAAGTACCTCGTCGGCGGAGCCGTGCTTTTGGATGCTCGACGTAGTCTCTTGCATGTACCGCGGCCGGGCCTCGCCAGAGTCGGTGCGCAAGAGGTCTCTCGTCGACGTCGATGTGATCGACGACCGCGACGATCGGCTGCGGCTAATGTGGGGCGGGCTCACAGACCGTGGCGGCGACTCCATGCGTCTCTGTTGCTCGTATTTGGGTGGCTATTTCAACTGCGTGCCAGCGCCGAGGTGTGTAAGAATAGAGAGGCCGGATGCCGTTACAAAACCGACGATGGCCATACGTGGCACCCGCTGCGTCAAGAACGAGGATCGTCTTTTGCCAATCAGTGCTCTCCGCGTTATGAGGGCATAAATTTCATCGCTTGACCTTGGAGACTCTGTTCCATACCTTCGTTCACTTCTCTAGTACATTAGTCGCTACATCAACACTTGGTCAGCTTGTTAGTACGAAGAATAGAACGTTGATTCACGAGGTTAGACAGCTGCACCATGGACACAGGCACGCGACGGCCGCGGGACGTAGATCGAATGGTGGTCTTGCTTACTGCTTGACGACCGTCCACTGCGACCACGCGCCGAGCTTGGGGTTGCTGACATGCATCGTGACCGCGTCGGGGTACGCGCCGCGGACGCAGTTGTTGCAGCGCGAGACAAAGTTGCCCGTGTCGGCCTGGAGACCGATCTTGCCGTTGCCGAGGTCGACGCATGTAAACTGGGCCCACGCACCGTCGCGCCAGTTCTTGGCGTGCACAAAGCCTTCGTCCGGGTACGCGGCACCGGTTGCACAGTTGTTGCAGCGGGCCAAGTAGTTGCCAGAGTCCGCCTGGAACGCGAGCTTGCCGTTGCCTGTGTTGTAAACCTTCCACTGCGCCCACGGGTTGCCCGCGAGCGCCGAGACATGGATCATCGCCGAGTCGGGGTATGCTCCGCCCGAGACGCAGTTGTTGCAGCGGCTAAGGAACTTGCCCGTGTCGGCCTGAAGCCCAATCACTTGACCGTCCGTGAACGTGCACGCGGGCGACGGAAGGCGGTTGACTGTGAACTGAGCCCACGGACCGTTGGTGTAGGCGTTGGCGTGCACAAAAGCCGCATCCGGGTACGCTCCGCCGCGGACGCAGCTGTTGCAGCGCGCCAGGAAGTTGCCCGTGTCCGATTGGAAGGCAATCTTGCCGTTGCCAGCGTCGACGCACGTCCACTGGGCCCACGGACCGGTGCGCCAGTCCTTGACGTGGACGAACGCCTCGTCCGGGTATGCGGCACCGGGCGCGCAGTTGTTGCAGCGCGCCAAGTAGTTGCCAGAGTCGGCTTGGAGCGCAAGCTTGCCGTTGCCCGTGTTGGTGACCTTCCAGACGGCCCACGGGTTACCCGTCGACGTCGACACGTGGAAGAAGGCCGAGTCTGGGCTAGCACCGTTCGGCATGCAGCCGTTGCAACGGGCGAGGAGCTTGCCGGTGTCGGCCTGCACCGTGATGAGGTCGCCGTCATTGAACGTGCACGCCGGCGACGGTGCCTGTTGGAGCATGTTGGCGTTGACCACCGTCGGCATCATGGGCTGCGTGTCCGCGGCAGCCGCCGAGTACGCGCCAAGGAACGCGAGGCTCGTACCGAGCGCGATGAGGGCCTTGCGCGTGCGAGACACTTTGGGCGCGACGGCTTCGTCCTTCATGAGGAGTTGTTCTTCCTTGATGAGAAGGTGTTTTTGCGAACTGTCCGTCTCGATCGGCATGTTGGTGGCTGTCGTGTTCGAGGCGAATGCGAAAATGAAATGTGGTGGCGGAATTTGAGTCCATTCGAACATTTTGCGACAAGATTCGGTTACGCGATCTCTCTAGAAAGGCGCGTCTTTTGTGGGGTCAATGTCCGTCCATGCGCCTGTTCGGCCCAATCTTCGAACAACAAGCTTGCTGTTTTGCAGATATCTCGTATTGCAATTGTAGAAACATTGCAAACACCAACATTCGTATATCTTCGCCATCGATACCCTTAGATCGAGTGGCGTGTGGGACACTTACGTGGCCTCGGCGTCCAAACGAAACAGTTACATCGGTGAGCGCCTGTTAGGATAGGAGTTCCTTGTGTGGTGATCCATGCGTCGAGTACAATGTGTTTTCGATTGTACTGTCGGAAGCTTTGCAGATCGGGGCGCTAAGAGCTCCTCGTTCACGGCGACGACCGTCACGGCTTCTTATCGTCAAGAATTTTTCTGGCAGGTAACGAACGCTGCAAGCGATAGATGGCGCAAATATCAACGAACCTCTTAATGTGTTTGTCCAACTTTGAATTGAAAAGGCGCAGCTTACGTCGCAACCAGTCGTGACGGTCGTCGCCGTGAACGAGGAGCTCTTAGCGCCCCGATCTGCAAAGCTTCCGACAGTACAATCGAAAACACATTGTACTCGACGCATGGATCACCACACAAGGAACTCCTGTCCTAACAGGCGCTCACCGATGTAACTGTTTTGTTTGGACGCCGAGGCCACGTAAGTGTCCCACACGCCACTCGATCTAAGGGTATCGATGGCGA